AACATGGAATGTGTTTCCATCTCCTAGTGTCTTCTTCAACTCTTTAACTTCTTTCTTGAGTGTTTCTAGAGGCATTTCACTTCCTTGGCTAGATATTTTTAAAAAAGATATCGTGAATGGGATTGTTTACTTGATTTCTTCAGCATGGTTGCTATTGGCATATAAAAAGGTTACTGATTTTTGTGTTAATTTTGTATCTTATTACTTTGCCGAAAGTGCTTAACAGTTCTTAGAATTTTCTTTTTGTTGTTATTGTGTGTACTTTTTCATGTGTGTACATGTGTGAAGGTACATGTTCATGTGTATACTGTGATAAAGGCCAAAGATTGACTCAGATGTCTTCCTCAATCACTATCTACCTTTTTTGACAGGGTCTCTTACTTCATAGTCCTGGAAGGCTTGGAACTCACTATGTAGACCAGGCTGGCCTTGAACTCACAGAGATCCCCTTGCTTCTGCCTTCTGAATGATGGAATTAAAAGAGTACACCACCATGCCCACTGTCCACCTTATTTTTTGAGATAGGATCTCTCATTGAACCTAGAGCTCACCAATTTGGTTAGATTGGCTGACCAGCAAGCCCCTCAGATCTGTCTTCACCGTTCCAGCTCTGGGCTTACAGTATATCCTGCCACACCCAGCTTTTCATATGGGTGCTGGAAATCTGAACTCAGATCCTCATAGCTTGTACAGCAAGCACCTACTGACTCAAGCCATCACTCTAGTTTCCAGATCTAAGAATCTTAGAGCACAGAATCAAATCATCTGCAAATAAGGATAGTTTGATTTCTTCCTTTCCTATTTGTATTCCTTTAAGCAGCTATAAATTTTAAATTCCAGTGTTTCCATGTTCATTATGAGTATATAAAGTATAAGTGATTTTATGGGGCTGGAAAGATGGCTCAGAGGCTAAGAACATTTCCTGCTCTTCCAGAGAACTTGAATTTTGGTTCCCAGCACCCATGTTGGGTGGCTCGCAAGTATCTGTAACTCTAGCTCCTGGTGTATACTCACACAAACATATACACATAAAAATAAATCTTAAAAAATGTCATGTGTGGTGATGCACACCTTTAATCCTAGCACTTGGGAGGCAGAGGCAGGTGGATCTCTGTGAGATTGAGACCAGCCTGGTCTACACAGCAAGTTCCAGGCTAGCTGGAGCTACAAGCAGACCTTGTCTCAAAATAAATAAATAATAAAAGAAAATGAAATATAAAATATGTGATTTTGTATGATTTTCTTGTATGTTGTGATCTTGTTGGACTTACTTATCAGTTCTAGGAAGTTTTCTTGTAGATTTCTTGAGGGTTTTCCATGTAAACAATAATGTCATCTGCATATAGAGACAGTTTTTTAATCTAAATACCTCTATTTCTTTTTCTTGTCTTATTGTACTGATTTGGACTTTAAGCACTATGCTGAGTAAGAACAGTGAGAATGAATATCTTCACCTTCTTCCTAACCTTAGGGGAAAGATCATTCAATTTTTACCACTGAGTTTGTGGTATATAATTTGTGATGTTTCTGAACAATATTGTTTAATAATTCATAAGGACTTTTGGTGGGGCAAGGGAGAGGGAGATGCTGGGTATTAAACTCAAGATCTCATGCATACTAAGCATATGCCTTACCAGTGATTTATACCTCCAGCCCTTCTTACTTACATATATGTTTATAAGAGATATTGGTGTGTAGTTTTTTGTTTGTGCCATCCACAATTTTAGTATACTTATAGTAGTTGTTCCACAACAAGAGTTGGGATATGTTTCTTTCTTTTCTATTTTCTGGCAGAGATTGTAGAGAATTAATGTTGCCTGTTCTTTAAACATGTGGTATAGTTCTCCAGTAAAATTATCTGAACAGAGAGATTTGAGAGTAGTGATGGGAAGGCTTCAAGTTGTAAATTCAATTTCTTAAGTAATTAATGTGTGATTCGAATGATTCCGTATTAAGTTGTGCTAGTTTGTAATTTTTGAAGAATTGATCTGTTTTGTCCAGGTTGTCAAATTTGTCTGTGCAGATTACATAATTCCCCTTTCACTCTGAAAACTGGCCAGTTGTCTAATCTCCCTTTTAGTCTGTTCAGATACATTATACACGTTATTGAATTTTTAAAAAAATTATTTCATGTGTATGCGTGTATTGCCTGCATGTAGGTAAGTGCACCCGTGTCGTGCAATGCCCACAGAGAACAGAAGAGACTGTCAGATCCCCTGGAACTGGAGTTATGGACAGTTGTTAGCTGCCATGTGGGTGCTGGGATTCGAACCTGGGTCTTCTGTAAGAACAGTCAGTGCTCTTAACCACTGAGCCATCTCTCCAGCCCCAGATATTATTGAATTTTATTTCTTTGATGAACCCTCTCAGCACCATCTTATTGCTCACCTGAACTGGAGATTCCTCTGTCCTGCACACAGATGTCTGCTGGGTATCTTGCTTAACTTTGCTCGTAACTCCTGGAAACTGTTTCTCTTTTTCCTTTTTCCTGCTTTATTTTCTTTAGTTGCATCTTCAGAAGAATGTAACCTTGCACTGATGAAAATGTTTTCTTTTATGATAGAGATGAAGCTCAGTGATAGAGTGCTTACTGTTTAGCACACAAGGCCCTGGCCTCAATCCCTAGCCGGCCCCCCAACACCCACCTACCAACACATACATGTGCACACACACAATCCTTATTGTGCATTTATGCTCTGTTGATACTTTTGACTATCCATTCAAAGCAAGCTTCATTTTCTTTAGAAATCTGGGTTGTTCCATTGCTTTCTCATGTCCTCGACTGTTACAAAGCAGTCTGAGGTTATTTTTCTCCTCTGTATGTGACATGTTCTTCCTCCCTAGAAAATTTAGGATCTTCCTTTTGTCACCAGTTTCTGAAATCACATAATAACAATCTCTGCTATATATATTTTCATCCATTTTGCTGAGAATATAGGGAATCCTTTCAGTTTGTGAACTGATATCCTTTCCTTCTGAAAAATATTTACTGGAGTATTTCTTTAAGAATAATCATTTCTAGGCCTCGTGTGGTGGCACACACCTTTGATCCCAGCACTTGGGAGGCAGAGGCAGGTGGAGCTATATGAGATCGAGGTCAGCAGCCAGTTCTATACAGTAAGCTCCAGGCCAGCTGGGACTACAAGGAAACCCTGTCAAAAAGACTTAAAAGCTGTCCAGTTTTGCTAAATGTCTTAGCTAAATCTAAAAAGTCACACTAATTCTAAGGAAACTGTTTTAAGTTTTGAGCCTTCAGGCAATTGGCAACTGTTCAATTACTGAAAAGATTCAGGGCTGATGGGTATCACACCCTCTTCATGTGGCTGGGAGAGTAAGTGGAAATCATAGTTCAAATGAGAAGCATCAGTTATACATTCGGACATTTTGGAAAGCAGTCAAGTTTCCGGACTTTTTCTTTGATAGGAGGAAGTGCTCTGACAGAAAACCCTGTTTCTTCCATTGCTGGCCTTGCCTTGCTCAATAGAGAAACAGCACCCCAGGTCATGTCCCATTTATGGAGCAGCCACGTTCAATGAGTCATCAGTGAACAAAGGCCAGTCTACTTAGGAGAAACTCTCAAAGGTCCAGTCAGCTTCAGAGTACCTTGGTAAACTGAGGCTGTAGGTCAGATTGTAGGTCAGCAGAGTACCCTCTGTTCAGTTGACATCTGACTTTTTTTTCCACTGACTGTTTCCTCCACGGGTGAACTCTTAACAGCCTGAGACACACTCCATGCTCACTTCCCACGTCACCTTGATAGAATGTATTTGAGAATTCTTTGTGGGATCTCACCCTCTCATGATTAGTTGATGGTAATGGAGTATCCATTACTCATTAATATTGAAGCCAAAGTAAATAGAGCACCAGTTCTTTTAAAATGCTCATTCAATATATGCCTAAGGAAGTCACGTTGTAATCTAAGACAAAAGAGATTAAATGTATATATTTGCATTGATAATTAGTTCAGAAAGGGATTTAATAAATCCTGCTCTAAAACTTTTTTGACAAATTAATGTATAATGAATCTAATAAATGAACCTGAAGCTTGCTAGGAAACCACAGACATCAAGTTCTTTTAGTTATCTCATTTTGAAAATTCTTTTTTGTTCTTGTTGCTGTTAGTATACAAAATAAGGGGGTTTTATCATGGGACTTTCTTTTTCTTTTAATAATTTTTTTTCTTTATTTCAACAACTTATTCTTCACCTTAGAAGGAATGTCTCTTTTAATAATTTTTAAAATTACATTTACTGTGTATTTTCGGGTATGCATGTGTCATGGCAACTTTGGGGAGTTGGTTCTTCTCTTCCACCATGTGGTCCCTGGGATCAATCTCTGGTTGTCAGGCCTGCTGTAGGCTTACCAGCTCAGGCTAGGCTCAAATTCACATGGCATGACTATATAACCAAAGATAGCCTTGAAGTTCATTTTCTCCTGTTTCTACTTCCTGAGTGCTGGGATTACAGGCATGAATTACCCACCATGCCTGCTTTTATGGGGTTTTGGTGATGGATCCAGATCTTCCTGCACCAAACACTACCGACACAAGCCATTTTCCTAGCCCTATTTTACCTGTTTAAAAATACAGGCTTTTCCACAGATGACTATGTCTTCTATTTTATTCTTTCATATAGTTAATAAATAATGATTCGAGCAGTTAGGATGTGGTAGGCATTAGACATAAGAAAAGGAATAAAATAAGTCAACGGAACTACCTTCAGTGATGTTTTGATTTAATAAACACACCATTTACTAATAGCCGTTCTGAAAAAAAAATAACCATTTAACCAAGACGCAGATTCGCAGTCGAGCTATCTAAAAGGAAAATACTCACGGGCAACCGCTGGTCCGCGAAAACCGGAAGGGAAGATAACCTAAGCTAAGGAGCAGCTGGATCTCAGTCTCAGGCCGGTAAACTCGCCCCGCCCCCCAGCCTCCGCCCCATACGAGGCCCCGCCCTCTACGCGCTCCCCCCCCCTTTAACCGGCGTCCATAGGTCGGCGGGATTTCGGGTCATACTATCGCGAGACCTTCCTCTTACCCGCTGTCAGCGGAGGCAACCGAAGCGGCGGCCGGACGGTGGGTTACGGATTTTTCTTGTAGTTTGAGCCTGTCCCGGAGGCTGCGGGTAAGTTCCAGGGCCGAGACCTAGTCACCTGGCGCCGGCAGTGGCCTGAGGAGCAGGCCGGGCCCTACGAGTCGGCCGCGTGCGCACCGCGTGTGCGTTGCCGGTGCGGGCGGCGGAGAGACTTTGGCCCAGGCGGCCGTGGGCCAATGCGCATGCGTTTCTGGCCCTGGTTTGCTAGTGGGACACCGGGAAATTTGGGGCCTGATCTTCCCGAAGTTACTTCTGGAGTTGCCGGGTGGAGTGTGTACGCCTTCCTGTTTCACCCCACGCAGTGATGCTTTATTTAGTCAGATGACCGAAGGACACGCACAAGTTGTTAAATGTCGCCATTCCTTCTGCCCTCTCTTTGAAGGTGTACTGAACGATGGAGTATATGACAGAGTCCATTGACCGCGGCCCGGGACACATGTGAGTCATGAGCCCTCTTCCCTCTTCCCTTTGCATTTCAAAATTGTAAACTGAGTCTGAAACTTACTGAGAAAACTTTGAGTGATAGAAGTTCTTTTCTCATAAATGGGGAAAAAATGTAGGTCTTGTATGGGAAAGCTACTTCTGAGCAGTTTGATCCAGACATTGTGAAGTGCCACAGAGCAATATATAGCCATTAACCCGATGTGAATGTTTAAATTTACATCGCCTGCTCAGTCGCTCTGTCATGTTAGCTACATACCAAGGGCTCAGTAGCCACATTGGAAGATTATCTTGTTTTTCTTTTGGACAGCGTTGGTTGATGTCACTAGTTCACAAACTTTAAATTTTGCTTCAGACAGACAGGGTCCTGCTATGTAGTCCAGGCTGGCCTGGAATTCACTATGGAGCCAAGGCTGACTTTGAACTCTTGATTCTCTAGCCTTAACCTCCCAAGTGCTGGGATTCTACCATGCCCAGTCCACATTTTTTTTCTGCTTCCAGTACACCTAGAATTATGCTCCCTATGTTTAGACAACATCACAAGACATAGATACTTTTCCTAGTCTGTCTTATTTTCCTTTTTACATTAATTTGTACTGTACAAAATAGGGTGTTCCATTATGACATTTTTATACAGATGTATCATTGCACGATGCCTATATTCTCCCTATTACTCATTACCCTTCCCTGCCCTCCAACCCACACTGACTCCCCTTCCCCTAAAGTCTCCTATTTCACTCATTTAGAGCTCAGAACAAATAGGGCATCAACTAGACTAGTTAGGTGCATCTTAAAAGGCTCACTTTTTGGTGAAATGGCAAAAGGACAAACTGATCTTAACATTCTTGACATGGAATGTTCTTTCAGTGTTTGCTATTGGTGCACTATTTGCCTTGTTAGCCTCTTTCTTAGTTTCCAATTTTCCCTGAGTTTGCAGTTAAGAAATTTGTTGTGTGTTTATTGGTAAACTCTGATGCTTTTGTTCTCAGAGAAAATGTCTGAAAGGATATTTATAAATGGTTATGGTCACTTATGTGGGTGATCTTGGTTGAGGGTGGCAGAGACATCTTACCGTTTTTTATTGTATTTCAGTATTAGAAATTGAGATTAGTACACATTGTGTGTTTTCTTACATTTTCTTTAAAAAAATGTAACATGGTAAGATTTGTTTTTAGTAGAAGATTATTTTGGCCTGTGCTATTTATTTATTTTTTATAAATTTTTAAATTTTATTTTCAATGTGTATGCGTGTATTGCCTACATGTAGGTAAGTGCACTCCTGTCATGCAATGCCTGCGGAAGTCAGAAGAGGCTGTCAGATCCTCTGGGACTGGAGTTATGGACAGTTGTTAGCTTCCATGTGGGTGCTGGGATTCAAACCTGGGTCTTCTGCAAGAACAATCAGTCCAGCCCATATTATTTTTATTTTATGTGTATGCGTGTATTGCCTGCATGTATGTAAGTGCGCCCGTGTCATGCAATGCCCTCAGAGGTCAGAAGAGGCTGTCGGATCTCTTGGGAATGGAGTTATAGACAGTTGTTAGCTGCCATGTGGGTGCTTGGATTCAAACCCAGGTCTTCTTCAAGAACAACCAGTGTTCTTAACTGCTGAGCCATCTCTCCAGCCCCGTGCTAGCTATTTAATATAAATTTTAAACTAAATAAAATTACCAATTGAGTTCCTGAGTTGCACTGTTCACTGTTGCCCAGTACCATGTGTGTGTATGTGGCTAATGACGGATGGTGCTAGGATTAAAGGCATGTGCCACACTGCCCAGCTTTCTTTTTTTAAATTAACTACTATTTTATAATATCTAACTGGAAAATTTTTATCCTTTATTCATTCAAGCTTGTGCTGTGAGTGTGGTGTCCCGATTAGTCCAAATCCTGCCAATATTTGTGTTGCCTGTTTGCGAAGTAAAGTGGACATCAGCCAAGGTATTCCGAAGCAGGTCTCGATTTCTTTCTGCAAGCAATGTCAGAGGTACAGTGCATTACTTTTTTTGGTCCACTTCCAGTTGGGGTTTATATGGAGAGCCACTGTGATGTGCCAGATGACACCAGAGTTTTGTACAGAGGAAGCTCGTGCAGTTAAGATTGAATTTTACTTAGGTTGATGTTGCCAAGGATTTTATAATTTATAGTTTAATAGTGTGTTTTCTACTATGCCCCACTAATCTGGTAAAGTGTACAGGTATTTGAATCTTTCCTTTTTCTGTTAGGAGCTTAGTAGATTTAATGGACATAGTTGATCAGAATTGATGTTTCTGAGGGTGAGAGCAGATTTTAAGGACATTCTGGGGTTTTTTGAGATTTTTTTCTTTTTCACCCTGGAACTTACTATGTGGACCAGCCTGGCCTCCTTCACAGGGATCCACCTGCTTTGGCCTCCCATGCACTATGATTTAAGGCATGTGCCACGAAGCCTGGCCTCAAGCACTTTTTTTAAGTAACTTAGCAATATGCTTTAGAAACTTTTAAGGTTCACATGTGATTAAAATAACTGTAGTTAACCGGAAAAGAAGTTCAGTAATAGTCTGAAATAAAGTCTGAATTTGAAGGTATAGGCATCTTTTGAGAGTTGATATTTCATTCCTTCTTTCTTTCCTTTAGTTGTTGGCACAAGCCACTTACGTGTAGTGGTCCACTGAGTAGTATAAAACTTGAACTTGCCAGTGAATATAAAATTATGTGCCTGCAATTTCCCAAAAAAGATTTAGCTCTTTACTTTGTGTGTGTGTATGTGTGTATGTGCAGGTTGTCTGTGGATCTTCCAGGGGATTCAAAATGTATCTCTCTGAAAAATAACTGTGTACACATGTACAAACCCATGGCATTTGTGTCTATTTTAGGGCATTTCCAGTGTGTAAACCTGGCAAGTGTGAGGCTTTTTTTTTTTTTCTTTTTTGAGACAGGGTCTCCTTGTAGCCCCAGCTCTCCTGGGACTCACTATGTAAACCAGGCTGGCCTTGAACTCACAGAGATCCGCCTGCCTCTGCCTCCTGAGTGCTGGGATTAAAGGTGTGCACCACCATACCCGGCCCAAGTGTGAGGCTTTTGATCTGGTGTAAATGTTTACCACTCTTAAACATGTGGTGGGGTTTTAAAGTACTAGACAAGGGATTAGGATTCCTGCTTCGTCTTGGATTTTCAGCTAGTTTTCTGTAACTCTTAGTTATATAGCCTCTCTGAGCTCAGTTTTTCATTAGAGTTAAGGTATTTTATTAGATATAGGATATTTGAAGCCCTTTTTAAAAGTACTTATAAACAAAGTTTTTGTTGTTGTTGAACCTTGAAGAGTGAAAGCAAAGTGTTTGGCCATTTAATAACTATGGCAAGAAAGCAGTCATATAACCCATTTGAAAGTATTTAGCAGACATTAGTTTCTTAAGTACCTACTGTGTACTAGTTCTTGGAAGACTGGGCTAAAAAACCTTAACATACTGAAAGGACTTAATATTTTGCTTTAATTAGGTTTTACCTAAAAATTTAAAACTTGAGTTTTTCAGCCTAGAAATTGAAAAGGCCCTTGAAATACAGATGAGTAGACTAAACCATTACTGATACACTAATTTACTTTGTGAGAAATAATTCTCACACATGTTAGTTGTATGGGGTAAAGCATTTTAGTGTCATTTTGGAGTGATTCTTACCTGTTTTTCAGAGCATAGCTTCAAGGAAATTTTGCCATCCTTATTGGAATTTTATTATTACTGTGTGTGTGCCCACATACTCTTGCATGAGCCAGTGCTTGCATGCGACTGTGCACGTGGAGGTCAGGGAACAACTTGCAGGAGCCAGTTCTCCTTTCACAGTGTGGCTCTGGGGATTACTCCCTGTACTATCTCACTGGCCCCATACTGGAATTTTTACTAATTGAAGTGATGAAGTTGATAGTAGATATCTTAGGCTGGCTTTCTCAGAGGTTTACTTTTTAAATTAAAGACACTGGTCTCATAGAAGGTTTAGGAACTGTTTGGGTTGAGGCTTCAGAGCAGCCTTGGGCGTTACTCCTGGTTAATAATTAGTATCATATCTGTGTATTCAGATGGAAATCGCTGTTCTTCCTGAGAACCAGCAGATTTCAGTGTGTAACCTTCTCTTTCAGGTATTTTCAGCCACCAGCAACTTGGGTGCAGTGTGCTTTAGAATCCAGGGAACTTCTTGCTTTGTGTTTGAAAAAAATCAAAGCACCTCTGAGTAAGGTAGGTCAAATAGCTAAAATCAGCGTTTGTTGGTATCTTTCTAAAGTGTGCATTTCCAGAAAATTCTTGAAATGTTCTCCCCTCTTCCTTTCTTTCTTTTTTTGATGCTGGAGATTGAACCCAGGGCCTTGCCCATTCTAGGCAGGTGTTCTTCCACAGAGCCGTCTTGCTGATTCCATTACATATGTTTTGATTTTTAGACTTTGATATATGTGCATGAAGTATATGTATGTATATATTTTTTAGTGGAAATGAGCTTATCTTTTAAAAGATTTGTAGAAATCAACTCATTGAGTATTAAGAATCTCTTATGTGTGATTTTTGCTTTGAAAACGTCTATGTAAAACTGTCAGTAAACATAATTTAGGAGATTATATTATGATTATGGGATCTTTGGTTACTTTTTGTTTTCGTTGTTGTTCTGGAAAGAAAATACATATGCCTGTCACTTAAAGTCAATGCTTACATGTCTCCAGAAAGCAAAAAAAAAAAAAATGGTTTGCATAAAGTCCCATTTGCTTCTTGGATGTAGACAGAATTTTTTTTTTAATTTGTTTTTATTTTATGTGTATGAGTGTGTTGCCTTCATGTATATAATGAAACACATGTGTGCACTGCCTGTGGAGGTCAGAAGAGGGTGTTGGGTCCCCTGGAACTGGAGTTAGCCACTGTGTAGATGCTGAAAACCAAACCCAGATCTTCTGCAAGGGCAGCCAGTGCTCCTAACCACTGAGCCATCTACCTGGCCTCTAGATTTTGAACTTTTGCCTCACTTATGTGGTGTATGTTTTGACTAAAATGGACACTGAGTTTGAAGGCTTTTCCAATTCTTCATTAAGCTTGATAAAATTTCATGCAATATTTTAAAAATCCTGTAGAGAGTCCCCTTTGTTTCCTCCCCACCCTCAAATTTCTCTTAGTCAGGTATTAGTCCTCTAGACCTAAAGCTTCCTTTTCATTTTCCCATCTGAGCCATGCTGCTGGCCCCTACATGTTGAGTGTTCATTATCCAAAAATACTTGGAATCAGAAGTATTTCAGATTACTGGCTGTTTTTTTTTTTTTTTTTTTAGTCTTTTAAAAGAAATTTTCATTATTTTTATTTTATGTGTATGCGTGTATTGTCTGCATGTAGGTAAGTGTACCCGTGCTGTGCAGTGCCCGTGGAGGTCAGAAGAGGCTGTTGGATACCCTGGGACTGGAGTTATGGACAGCTTTAGCTGCAATGTGCGTGCTGGGATTTGAACCCGGGGCTTCTGCAAGAACAACCAGTGTTCTTAACTGCTGAGCCATCTCTCCAGCCCCCTTTTTTTTAATATTTGCAAGTACATAATGAGATGCTTTGGGAATGGGACCCAACTCTTTTTTTTTCTAAAGAATTTTTAAATTATTATTTTTTCATATTTTATTATTTTTATTTTATGTGTATGTATGTATTGCCTGCGTGTGGTGGGTAAGTGCACCCATGTCGTGCAATGCCTGCAGAGGACAGAAGAGGCTGTCGGATTCCCTGGAACTGGAGTTATGGACAGTTGTTAGCTGCCATGTGGGTGCTGGGATTTGAACCCAGGTCTCTGCAAGAACAACCAGTGTTCTTAACCACTGAGCCATCTCTCCAGCCCCTTTAAATTATTTTTATGTGTGTGTGTGTGTGTGTGTGTGTGTGTTTGTACGTGTACGTGTGTACACATAAGTACAAGTGCCTATAGAAGCTAGAGGCATCAGATCCCCCTGGAATTGGAGTTGTAGGCAGTTGTGAGCTGCCAAGTATGGGTGTTGGGACCTAAACTCAGGTCCTCTGCTCTTAGTCAATGAACCTTCTATGCTGAGTCATCACTGCAGTCTGGAACCCAACTCCTGATACAAAATTCTTTTGTGTATCATATATCCCTTATACACAAAGCTTACGACAATTTTGTACATGTAACATTCTGTTGGTGCTGTGAAAATTTCAGATTAGGGTCATGTGGATGTCAGGTTTTTCAGATTGGGGATGTTCAGCCTGTAACAGGATTTTGCTTAAATCCCTGATTTATCTCTCTCTCTCTCTCTCTCTCTCTCTCTCTCTCTCTCTCGTCAAAATTTTTTTTCCCCCTTTATCTTAGTTTTTCACTTTTGTTCTTGAGCGTTTGTTAAATGTCTGATGAGTCTGAGTAGTTCGTTCAGCAGATGATTAATAAGTACTAGGTGCGTGCCATGCTGGTTTTGTCATTGGGGAATATAGCAGTGAGTAGGAGAGACAATCCCTGACCAAGCTGTTAATTTGAGGCCCTGAAGCATGTAGTGTAGCCGGTGATTCAAATGGATGGCTATGTCACGGAACATATGGAAATATAGAAATTCTCTGTAGGAAAAAAATGGTAGGAAGGGGGATGAAAACTATTGTGGAAAGAGTTAGAGTTTACAATAGGGTATTTACGGAGGCCTCACTGAGAGGGTGCCATTTGGATCTACCATTCAAGATGAGAGGGAGAGAGTTGTGCAGAAATCTTGTGAAGAGCACTGTGGGTAGAGAGATAAGAAAGGTGTGTAGAGAGCAGAGCCAAGAACGTGCCTGCATGGAGAGCAGAGCCAAGAACATGTCTGTGTGGAGAGCAGAGCCATGAGCATGCCTGTGTGGAGAGCAGAGCCAGGAACATGCCTGTGTGGAGAGCAGAGCCATGAGCATGCCTACGTGGAGAGCAGAGCCAAGAACATGCCTGCGTGGAGAGCAGGGCCAGGAACATGCCTGAGTGGAGAGCAGGGCCAGGAACATGTCTGCGTGGAGAGCAGAGCCAGGAACATGCCTGCGTGGAGAGCAGAGCCAGGAACATGCCTGCATGGAGAGCAGAGCCATGAGCATGCCTGCATGGAGAGCAGAGCCATGAGCATGCCTGCGTGGAGAGCAGAGCCAGGAACATGCCTGCGTGGAGAGCAGAGCCATGAGCATGCCTGCGTGGAGAGCAGAGCCAGGAACATGCCTGCGTGGAGAGCAGAGCCATGAGCATGCCTGCGTGGAGAGCAGAGCCATGAGCATGCCTGCGTGGAGAGCAGAGCCAAGAACATGCCTGTGTGGAGAGCAGGGCCATGAGCATGTCTGTGTGGAGAGTAGGGCCAAGAACATGCCTGTGTGGGGAGCAGAGCCATGAGCATGCCTGTGTGGAGAGTGGCGAGAGAATAGTAGCTGGGGGCTGAAGTTAGAGAAATTATGGAAGGTCAGAGGCCTTAGCAGGGTCTGGTTTTTACTTTGAGTGTAGTGGTACATGTACATAATAGAAAACAGTGAGGAGATGATATGATTTATTAGTATCTCTAGGTGCTGTTTAGAATAGATGTCAAGGGGCTAAAGGACCACAGGAAGGGATCTTCTAAGTGATGGTGTTGGATCTGAAGTAGTTATGCATCTATTTTGTAGGTAGTTAGTAGTAATTGCTATTACAGCTGAATTTGTATATGTAAAATTCAGAAGAGTTCTGGGTGACTTCTGTTTTTGACCTGAGTACCCAAAAGGAAGGAGTTGTCATTAGTGAGATAAAGTTTTCAGGAGGAACTGGCCAGGGTAGTGGGGTTCAGAGCTCATCTGTAACTGATACTTGGATGTTCACTAGACGTTTAAGTAGAAGTACTGAGTGGATAGGAGGGTGGTCCAGGCTAGAAATGATGAATGGGGTATAGAGGGTATTTAAAGCCATGAATTTGGGATGGGATTACATAAAGTTCAGCTCTTGCCTAGTATGCACAAGGCCTTGGGTTCAATATTCCTACCCCCTCCTTAACCCTTCTACCAAACAGAACCACTAATTAGAAATTACCTAGTGAGTTTAGATAGATGGGGGAAGAAACTAAATTGGAGACATCCTGGAGTCCTTTAGTGATAAAATTTTAAGAAGATGAGAAGGACCAGTAAAGGAAACTGAAAGGAACTGCAGGGAGGAGGAAATTCTCATTAGGTGCCTATGATGTTCTAGAAGGCAAGGGAATAATAGCTATATGCTCTGCTTCTGATGAGCCAAGCAGGAAATTCTGTAGATTTAACAATGGGGAAGATTATTAGTAACTCTAGTGAAGAATTAACTGGTGCTTAGAGATGGAGTAAAGACATGATTTGAATGCAAGGAAGAATTGGAGGGAGAAGTATAAACAGTTCTTTTGAATTTTTCTTCAAAAAGACACAAAGAAATGGGGTAGTATCTGGAGGGGGATTTGGAACACACACTTGTTAAGACTGGAGATCTAATAGTGTATCAGTAAGCTTGGGAATGATAATATACAAAGGGAAAAATGAAAACTGCAAGAGTTAGAGGACTGACTAGAAGATATCTTTCAAGAGTGGCAAAGAGTGGCAGGAAGTAGAAGAGTGCCTCTCTTCTTCCACTCAGCACTTGCTCTGCCGTGTGCTACTCTTGGCAAGAGAATATTTTGTGGAACAAAGTAAGCTGTCTGCTCTTTAATGAGGTGCTGAGGTTCATGGACAGGAGCATGGGCATTTCATCTGTGGTAACAGGAGAGAAGCAGTGTTGGTTAGTGAGAACACGGGCAGTAGCTTTGAGTTGCCAAATGTGTCAGGAGAGGGGAGGATAGGAAATGGACCTCCAGAAGAGTCAGAGAAGATGCTCTAGAGTAGTGATGTTTGGATGCAGGGTAGTGCTTGTGGCTACTGCTAGAAATTTAAAGATTAACTCTATCAGCTACACAAGAAACACAGAGCAGGCAGAACATTGGATTCAGCCAAGGTTCTGATTTGGCCCAGTTAATAAGGTGAAGTGAGCGACCAAGGAAATTGGGAGTGCATGGGAATGATTTTGGTGATTTATTTTGAAATTAGTTCAGATAGGTGGAAATAAGTAGATGAGGAGGAATTGAGACATAGGGACAAAAGTGGAGAATGAATGGGTTTCCCATTGCATTAGATAGAACCCTTTTTGCTGCCCTTGAACTAGAGGTAATGGACTGGAAAGATAGTGGTAATCAGTGAGGAGGCTGTTCAGAATTAAGACTTTGGAGGGGCTTCACTAATTGTTAATAAAGAGAATTAGTTGTGAAGACAGGAAAAAAATCAGGATCATGGAGGTTATAAATTCAGAGAATTGAGAGGTCATGGTATTGTAGTGATCATCTGGGTAAACAATGAAAGTCTTAAGCATTAGTCTTGGAAACAGTAGCAGTGAGCCAGGAGCTCACTTTGAGAAATGACAGCTAGTGATAAAAGATTAGCATCACTAGACCAAAGAAAATCACCTAGTGACCTTAGATTCAGGCTGATTGTATTGAAGGAGGCAGGTAAAATGGTTTGGCATTAGCAGTAAAGGAATAAAAGCATGCCTGTGTAGCTCCTGATCCAGGGATAGGAGGAATGAGAGAGAAGATGGGACATTTAATTGGCTACGGGGACACAGTATAATCAGGAGAACCAGAAGTGGAAGGGAATGCTCAGCAGTCGTTGAAGATTTAGAAGGTTAGTGGATAGAGAACAGAGTAAAGGAGATTTAGGATTTGGAGGAGTTAGATGCAGATAGAACAGAGATAGGAAAACCATATGGAAACTGGATTGTGGGAAATGAGAGGTGACTGAGGTCTCTGGAATTACGATAAGAGACAAAGGACCCAATAAAGTTAAGCAGTGTGGTGAGTCTGTTAAGGGATGCTGAAGTGGATGTCAAGGTCCCTCTCTCCCTTTCTGCAGATGGAGGTTGGAGGCTTTAGGAAGAGCCGACTTAGTTCCTTCTGGGCTTCCTCTTAACTCCTGCAGCTGGAAACTAGGGGAATAGGAAGCTGGTTATCACTCTGCACCTGTCTTGGCTCCTTGGCTCCTTGGAATTGCTTTAGTTCAGCCAGGATGAAGAGGTTTTTATTCTACCCTGACTAGTCTAGTTCTCACCAGACAGTTTTTGATAAAATACAATCTGCTTGTTCATACCTTCCTATTGTTACTTATTTAATGGATTTTTCCATTCATCTCCAGGCCAGTATCATACTTACAGACCTTATAAGTACTGAGGCGATCTCTCCTCATTAAGCCTGTTGTTTATTTCTGTCAGAAAAATTGTATTATCTTAGTTCCCTAAGCTGGATACTTGAACACTGTATTAATGTGTGTTCTCTTCCTCTTTTTAATATTCAGCCATTGTTAAATCCTGTATAATTATCTCCTAAGTAGCTTTTGCATGTTTCTGTTATTTCTAGCTCCTCTCAGTTGAAGTTACCAACAGTTGCTACTCAAATTGTTACAGCAGCCTCCGTCTTTGCTCTTTCCCTCCCCTTGTTCCAGAGCACTTGTGCTAGCCTTATTTAATATGCTTAGCTCATCACATAAGCAAATTGTTCTTAGCTCCTGATTTAGCAGTAAGTTACAATTGTGTAGTCAGTATGTGAACCTTGAATGAATGTCCATTATTTAAAGGAAAAGAAAGACACAGACTAATATAGAAAGAATAACCCAGAAACTTGTTTGTGTGGTTTCCCATGGATAGTGAATGAGTTCTTCACCTTTTGAAAAAAATATATTTCCTTTTGAGAAACAGTCCTTTTTTTAATAATGATTTTTCCCCTGTGAAGAATACTTCTGTTCTTGCTTGGCACATTAGTACATCCATTGGCTTGCCTATTTGCTGCTATTGTTGCTATAATTTCATTGATAACCTTTTTTTGGTTGTCATAGTATATAATGATGTTAATCACAAATTCCTTGAACGATCCTATGAAATCTTCTTATTAATGCATTATCCTTCCATCACCCCCCCCCCAGGTGAGAACTTAATGCTTCTTTTTTTTAATCTTTTGTTGAAGGTTCGACTTGTAGATGCAGGCTTTGTTTGGACTGAGCCCCATTCTAAGAGGCTTAAAGTTAAACTGACAATTCAGAAAGAGGTAAGCTGTATAGATTTTTTTTCTAAACCTGGTTAAGTTGCAAGTAGTAAGAAAGGGCCTAGTGCTAAATTATTTTATAGCCTAAATGGCTTAAAGGGAAGACTGTACTTTACATTTTAGTTTTCTGTTATATCTTCAGATGTTTTAATCCTCTGAACAAATGATTGTCACTAGTAGCTATCATTGATCAGAATTAGTGGGTTCAAGAATCTTTTCAAAGTTATTTTTATCATCTATATGTGGTGATGTGGTAGGTGACTGTAATCTAGCACTTACTAGGCTGAGGCAGAAGGATTATGAATTCAAGACCTTCCTGGGCTACATAGTAAGTTCCTGGTAGGCCTTGACTCAAAAACAAGCAACAACAACAAAACTCCCTCCCCTATCCCCTGAAATAAATAAATTAATTAAAAAATGTTATGTTGATATAAAGACTGGAGTTAAAACTTGGGCAGAGACAGTGAATCTCCTACTTGGCTGGCCATACTCCCAGTTCACAGTGGCTGACTCAGAACCTCTGTGTAGATTGAAGTGTTTATGTCCCCCCAGTGTTGATCAAACCCAAGGCCTCAAGCAAGCTAGGCAAGCTCTCTACTCCCAGACCTTCTGTATATTTAAAAAGCTTCCCAGGCAACATCAGATGGTCTTTGTTTGGAAACCATTAAATTAAGGAATATTTTTCTTTTTTGAGAATTTTGTCTTATTTTCTTCTAAGGAAGAATTCCGTGTGTATCATACACATAGGCACACAAGCACACATATATAAAACATAATTTTTGTTCTTTGAGACAGTTTCACGTGGCCCAGTTTAACCTTGAATTCACAGTGTACCTGAGGATGACCTTGAACTTCTGATATTCTTGCTTCCATCTCCCAAGTGCTAGGATTACAGGTGTGTGCCACCATGCCTGATTTTATGCTATGCTAGCATGCTAGGCAAATGCTCTACTAACTGAGCTATGTCCCCAGACCCAAACTTTTGAGTGTCTTCACAGCCAGTTCAATTAAAGGTGAATTAAAATGGTAATCCAATCTTAGGAATTCAATCTAATACAATTCCTAATTGTATTAGGAATTCTTAATGCAGTATTTCTTTGGGGACTAGAGAGATGGCTCAGCAGTTAAGAGCGCTAGCTACTCTCAGAGGATCAGGGTTTGATTCCTAGCACCCACATGGCTGTTAACAGTCATCCCTGACTCCAGTTCCAGGGGAATCAGATACATTCTTCTGGTGTCATGGTGAACTTACATTCATTCATGGAGCAAATACACTCATACTGTTTTTTAAAAATATTTTATTTATTATTTTTATTTTATGTGTAACTTACTCCTGGGGGATGTAGCTCAGTGGTAGACCACTTAATCAGAATGCATGAGGTCCTAGATTCAATCCAACTTATTTTTATGATTACAAATTAAATTTGACTTATTGATATCTTTAATGCATTCATAGAAAATTTTGAATTACTTATTAAAGAGTTTTTTTTTTTTGTTTTTTTTTTTAAGAAAAATAACAACCCTAACAACAGTAAGAGCACAGACATGCATTGCTTTCTTTCTCAGGTGATGAATGGTGCTATCCTTCAGCAAGTGTTTGTGGTGGATTATGTCGTTCAGTCCCAAATGTGTGGCGATTGCCATCGAGTAGAAGCCAAGGATTTCTGGAAGGCTGTAATTCAAGTCAGGCAGAAGGTACTGAAAAATAATGAGTCAGTCTTACATTTTGTATTTCATCTTTGTCCATTATAAATAGCTGCTAAAACCTCATTTCTCTTTCTAAGTCCTTGATGTATAATTAGAGTCAAGGTTCCTGAAACATTGACTTTAGGAATTTATCACTGTTTACATTTCTGTTAATCTCTAAAGACTGTTTCTGTTTGTTTGAAAAATGAAAGTGCTGTTGTATCTGTAGATGATATATGTGCACTATATTTATAAGTGTCTTTTTGGCATTTAATTTGTTGATTCTATAATGCATGTATATTTAGACTCTGCACAAAAAAACATTCTACTATCTGGAACAGTTGATTCTGAAATATGGAATGCATCAGAATACACTTCGTATCAAAGAAATTCATGGTGAGTTCAAATGTAAAAGAATTTGAAGTGTCAAAATTTTATTTTAATTAGCCTAAATCTTATCTTTATCAGGTAGTTAAAGTGGTTGCAAAGATTCCTTCAAAAATTCATAAAGTATGTATATGCCTGTATATGTATGTGCATGTGTAGGAAGAAAACAATCTTAATTTTCTATGTGCACTGTCCTGTATGACAGTTAGTATCCACATGTGATTAGCAATTGAAATATGGCTGGTGTAATTCAGAAACTGAGTTTTGAATTTTCTACTGTTCTAAGCTTATTTTAAATTTACATGTAATTAGTGGCTACTCTGGATAGCACATACTTAAGATAACTAGTTTTTTCATGATGTCCTTCTGTCTTCACTCAAGACATTTATTAAGCATCTAGTTCATGGTAGGTGCCATTCTTTGTTCTTGGACTATAAAGGTATAGTAGTATTAATTCCTGCTCTATGCATTGCTCATCTTGCTGCTAGAGAAATAAGCGGGTGACTGTTGGTATAGTGATTGGAAGAAAATTGTTTAAGTTTTTTTTGTAGTTTTTCACACACTGACAGTATTTGTGATGATTAAATTCAGAAGCTTAACTCAATACATAAACAGGGATTGTGTAAATGAGATTTCTAAATGGAATTTTAAAACCTGAAAATTTTTATAATAGCTTGTAAGTTCTGCCTCAGGATTTTCTGGTTTTTCTTTGGCTTGGTTTCTTTGATGGTTGTGGGAATTGCCCCAGGGCCCTGCAGAGGCGTTATATAACTGCTGTTGAGTAATACTTCTGGATACAACTGTTTCACTGTTTGGATACAACATACTTAATCATATATGGTGGCGGGGGCATATGTTTAGTGTAAAATATAAATATTCTGTAGCAAACTTGTCTTTGCTAACAATAGTTTTTGGATGGGGCTTGCTCCTGTTAGACAAGAGTTGTTTTTCTTGTTTTTAAAATACAGATTTACTGCTGACTGTTGTTGAAGAAATGACCAAAATCTTGAATTATAGTCCTTTTTTAAAACCACAAGTCTGAAGTTACTGGCATGTCATTTATATTCTATGTGTTGAGAAAAAGTACTTCAAAGGTGATCTTTGGTCCCTAAATGGGGAAACAGTATCAGTTATCACCTGGTGAAAATCTTTCAGTCTTTTCCTCTAAGTTGGTGTATTACTAGCAGATACAAGATGGTCTAAATTGATGAAACACAATTTAGTGACTACTGTGGATAAGTTTTTTTACTGGCTATCCAGTAGTAAAGGTATACCTTTATTCTTTGGTACTTGCCCTGAGTAAGTCTTGACAGAGACTCAAAGGTAGATGTGGTGGTCTATGCCTGTAATTTCAGTACCTGGGAGTTGGAGGGAGGAGTATCAAGAGTTGATGGAGGGCATCCTTTACGAAGTGAGTTTGCAACCAGTCTAGGCTACATCAGAGTCTGTCTCAAAAAAAAAAGTATGTGTGTGGAACAGTACTCCTATTCTAGCTAAGATCAATAGTAGAAATATCTTCACAGGATGTTTTGTTGGCAAACAGCTTGGTACATTTCCAAAAATTAATTTCAGAACCTAAAATGTTGCAGGTTTAACACATCCTTCCAACTGAAGACTTTTTTTCTTCTAGTTCTTGGTTTAAATGAATATTTGATTTGCTTGTATATTTGTAATGTTATTTTTAAAATAATAATTGTAAAAATTCAACACCTGCCACCCCCCAAAATAGCATAGTTTCTTAAAACAAGTTAGACTTTGTAAGTTGTGAGTAACTGCTCTCACATGTCATCATTCCATACCCTTATGTGACTTTGATGGCTCTTTAACACATTTGGAAGACTTTCAGCAACAATACATATAATTCCATTTTATTATTTTTAACTGCTGTCTAGTAGTCCTTAGTCAATGCATATTTAAATTTATTTCTTTATTAATGGGTTCATAGTAACTTCATTTTTGTTGCTATAAGAGCACTGTAAATATACTTTGCTCATCTTTGTACATATGTAGTGGTTTTTCTTTGGAATCAGTTTAAAGAATTGGAATTATTAGACAAGAAAATCCAATTGTGTTTTGATATATACTGCCAGATTGTTTCCCAGGGTGCTGGTACACATTCCCATTACTAGTAAGCTTTCCTTTATCTATACACTTGACACTACTGATTGAGACTGTATTGACTTTTTATGTGTATGAGTGCATTGCCTCCATGTGTGTAAGTGTACTCATGCTGTGCAATGTCGGCGGAGGTCAGAAGAGGGTGATGGATCCCCTGGAATTGGAGTTAGGATGGTTATTAGCTGCCTTGTGGGTATTGGGAATTGAACTTGGGTGCTCTGTAAGAGCCATCAGTGCTCTTAACCACTGAGCCAACTCTCCAGCCCCATGTATTGACCTTTCTAAATATTGTTGTTTCAGTGGACAAATAACATCTTTTTATCTGTACTTCCTTGATGATTAAGGAGGGTTAACATGTTTTCCTATGTATCTTAGTCATTTTCTTTCTAATGTGAATTATCTATTGTTATCCTTCAGGCATGTATCCTTTTCTGATTTGTTTGTATGTGTTTCCTGGATGCCAGTTTCATTTCAGCCCTAAGCATAGTATGCTGAAGTTCTTTTTTTCCTTTTTCTCTTTTGGTATTTTTGAGGCAGGGCTTCTCTTTGTAGCCCAAGCTGTCCTTGGGACTGTCAGTCCTCATCCCTCATTCTCTTTAGTGCTGGGATTACACATGCATACACACATACATATGCTTATGCTTCTCTGTCCAGTTGTGCTGTCAGTTATGTTAGCACTGAAGAAACTTAAGAAGGTCACCTTCCTTTTCTTTGTGTTTATTGCCTCTGCTTTGTAAGAATTATTAAGCCATCTAGTTTCTTATCTCTTGGGTGATAGATCATTTCAGTTTCCTTTAGGACTAGGATCTCTTTCAAGTATTTCTTCTTCAGTCTTTTTTTTTTTTTTTTTTTACGATGAAGCCTTTCATTACAGCTTTAACATACTCAATAACAGTTTCCAGAGCAAAGATACATCTCTTTCAAAAGTGCCTATAAAATTTTTAGGTTCACTGTTGAATTAATACTGTTGAGCTCAGTATAAGCCCTGTAAGACATAAAATTGAATGAGTTTTTAACCTTTAAAAAAGATCTCCATTTCATTTTATGTATGTATCTGATTATTACTAGTCATAATTGGTTGCTTTTGGATCCTTGGTACCTGTGTATGTCTATAAAGTCATCGGGCAGATTCAACGGTAATGTTTATCACCTCTACTAATTAATATGATGTAACTTTTTATGCTTCCTCCTCAATCAGACACATAGAGATTAAAGACACATGTGTAAACATCTAAGTGTTAGTAGCATTAAAAATGTAGGAAACAGACTATTTTAAAATGAAATAGAGATCTTCTTAAAAGCCTCCCATAGCCTCCCTCCCCCCACTAGAGTCCTTATACTCTGTTATCCCTGCTGCTGTCCGCTGTGTTGTCGGCACCCCAGTCATTCCCCACTACTTGTCCATCTGGTGAATCTAGTCAGCCTATCTAGAGGTCTTTGTTTTAGGATGGTCAGTTGTTTCTCATCTAGCAGCAATCAGTTGTCAGTATTCCTTTAGATAAGATTGGGATCTGCTGTTAATTTTCCCATTTCTATGCTGGGTTACTGTCTGGAAGTCTCTTGGGCCCCCCTGGCCATAACTAAAAGGAAGGGTATCTCCTGTCTGGCATTGTTTCTTCTTAAGTAGCTTTTAGCTATACACATCGACACTTAAGGAATTATATTGATCCCTTTAATTTTTGGTTATACTTTCCTTTTGAGTGTTTAAGTCCATACAGTTGGTCCAGATAAACCAGTTTATTTTTACGCTTAAGGTTGTTTGGGGATCTGTTCCTCAGGGGTCACATGGGCTGGAAAGGTCTTTTGCAGCTTTCAGAATTGTCTCTTTGTTTTGTATGTATAGTGTTTTTATTATGATGTGCCATGGTGAGTTTCTTTTCTGGTCCTGCCTGTTTGGTGTTCTATATGTTTCTTGTATTTGTATGGGCATGTCTTTCTTTAATTTAGGGAAATTTTCTTCTACAGTTCTGTTGAGGATCTGGTCCATGCCATTATCTTGGGATTCTTTCCCCTTCCTGTATGCCTGTGATTCATAAGTTGGTCTTTTTATGGTATCACACAATTCCTGCATATTTTGTTCTTGTGCTTTCTTAAATATTTCATAATCTTTGCTTGAGCGGTCTAGTTCATCCACTTTATCTTCCAGTCTTGATATTCTGTTTTCCATTTCATTTATCCTATTGGTGAGGCTTTCTCCTTTTGTTTCTAATTGGCTTACTGAGTGTTTCACTTCCTTCTTCATTTCAGCCCGAGTATTCTTCAATATTTCTAATTCTTTTCAGAATTCATTCAGAAGTTTATTCCTATCTTCCTTCAGTTCTTTGATTTCTTTGTTTGTGTGTTCTTTAAATTCATTGAATTCTTTTATCATGTTTATAATTGTTCTTTTGAGTTCCATGTCCTGCATTACCTCTAGCCGGTTCTCATTGTACTCCTCTAGAGGACTATTGGTATTTGGTGGGGATATGTTATTTTGGTTTTTCATGTTATCATTTTTTCTCTGTGATTTTAACATGTGAATTTCTTTTGTAGTTTCTGATTCTTGTGTGAGACTCAAGCCTTCAAGTTTAGGTCTGCTTCTTTTTGTAAACCTTATGTGCCTTTGTGGTTTACTTTTGGGGCATGGAAAGCTGGTTTGTCTAAGCTTCCGGTTCTCTCTTGATTTTCTACTGGAGTGGCCAGATTGCTTTTGTCTTCAGGAGTTCCCACAGAGGCCTAATTCAAATGAGGATCAGGTGCTCTCAGGCTTTCTTCTAAGGTCTGGATCCCTCCAGGAAAGATGTCGTCTTCAGGAATTTGGGGGTTGGACTGGCCTGGCAGCAGGGCCCAGTAAAGATGCTGGTCTAGGTCAGCTAGTGGCCCTGCCACCCAGAGATGCAAAGGGAGATGGGGGTGGGAAGAGGCTCCAAGGACTCCTGGGGACTGCACTGAGGAACTGGGTTGGTCTGGATGCAAAGGATCAGGAAGCCTAGAGGTTAGCCCTGGTGTCCAGGAAAGAGGCTGGTGGGTTGTGCAGCCCGGGGAAACAGAGGGAAGTGAGGGCAGGACCAGGCCCAGAGGGCTCCTGGGGACCCTGAGAAGGCCCTGGGTTCATCTGGATGTAAGGGATCAGGAAGCAGTGGTGATTCCGGGGCCTAGAGGTCAGCCCCGGTGTCCAGGAAAGAGGCCGGTGGGTTGTGCAGCCTAGGGAAGCAGAGGAAGGTGAGGGCAGGACCAGGCCCAGAGGGCTCCTTGGGACCGCGAGATGAGAAGGAACTGGGTTTGTCTGGTTGCAAGGGATCAGGAAGTAGTGGTGGTTCTGGGCCTAGAGGTCAACCCTGGTGTCCAGGAAAGAGGCTGGCATGTTGTGCAGCCCAGCGAAGCGAGGGCCTTCAATCATTTTTATTGCATTTATTTATTGTGTATAATCATTTTTGATAGTACATTCTAAGAAAGGAAACAGTTTTATCTAGCATTTTATATTCTTTGCATAAAATTCATCGAAGTTATTTATGCTTGTAATGTTGGTTCATCTACATTGTTTTTTCTCATTTTTGCCCTTTTCCCCTTGCCAAACTTTGATCGATCATGTTAGTTTGAGGGGTGGTGGGGTCAGGGGAGGTCCTTGCTGCCAAGCTTAGTGATCTGAGTTCAAACCCTGACACCCACATGGTGGAAAGAGAATCAAATCCTCCAAGTTGTCCTCTGACATCCACATGTGTGTTGTGAGAGGCACGCACACACATGCACATACACACACACAAAACAACTAATGTAAATTAGGAAAATTATTTGACATTTTAAATATTTAAAAGTTTTGTTTTAATCACTAAACTTTGTATTTTCTTTGTCCTATTTTATTTTTATTGAGAATTAAGTTGATTTCCACTTTATAATTTAAAGTCATATCTTTTGATTATCATATTTGCTCTCTACCTTTGGGTTTTTTTGTTGTTGTGGTGGTTGCTTTTTAGATAGGGTCACACAATATGTAGTTTTGGTTGGGCCGGAAGGTACTGTGTAAATGAGCTGGCGTTGAACCTTGGGAATCCTCCTGCCTTGCCTTCTGAATGCTGGGATTACAGATATGTGCCACTGTATCTAGTGTTCATACCTCTCCCTTTCTACTGCCCATTGAATATATGTCTTTTGTCCTCAGCCAGCTCCTCACCTATGTCTGTATTTAAGGACAGAACTGCTAAGTTACATGGTAAATTTGTTACTATTTAGGCTTGAGAAGGTGCCTGACTATTTCCAAGTAGCTGTAACACCTAATATTCCTGACAGCAATATTGGAGGATTCCAAATTCTCTACTTCAGTTATCATATTTGTTTGTAGACGTTCTAGAGGGAAGTGTGAAATCTGTAGTGATACTCCCTTTTTTACTTTTAAATAGTTGATTGCTCAAACTCAAATCTTTTATTCAAGTTCTAAAATGTTTACATTGATAAGAATTGCATCTGCATTGGGTGAAAAGATGGGTGACCACTACCAAAAAGGAAACTCATACCTCTAGTCAGTACTAAAAAATGCTTCAAGGTGATGCAAATACAGAAATAACAGCCTCCACTTTAGTCCAATAGGCATTTTACTTTTCATCCATATAAATTTGGAGATTAAATAGCTGCTTTAGGAAAATTGAGTTTTCACACACAAAAAGACCAGGTAGGTAGAATTTAAAGACCACAAATCATGTTGTTAGCTATTTCCTTTTTAGTGATGATCATCCTATGCAAACGCACATGAAAATTTGTACCAGATCTCAATAGTCCAGAACTTTGTAAGCATACACTTAAACTTGTTTTTAAAGTGATAAGTAAACATGATATAGGCACTTGAATTCACTAAAGGAAAAGCAAATCGTTTTCTTTCCTTAGTAATCTCCACAAATGGAGTAGTTATTGTGGTTTGAATTTTCATTTCACTAGCGAGGAAATTGATATGGATGTATTCTGCATATAAATCTTGTATTGCCTATATGATTTGCAGTGTTTTCTCCTAGACTGTAGCCTTTACATTTCCTTAATGCTGTCCTTTCTCTTGCAAAAGTTTTAAATTTTGATGAAGTCCAGTTATCAGTCGTGCCTTTGGTGGTGTGCTAAATAAAGAACTATTTGTTTAAGGTCACAAAAATACCCTGTGCTGTTTTCATATACTTTTATAATTTTTTAACTCTTCATCTTTTTCCATAATGATATTCTTTATCCCAATGAAAAGACTGTCCTTTATTAAATGCCATGAATCCTTCTGTTGACTAAATGTAATCATTTGTTTCTACAATCTCAGATTTATGCATGAGTTTATAATTCTGTGCCAATCTATACGGTCTTACTTAACTGGAATGAAATTTAAGTCTTACTGTTCATTTTCTTCAAAGTTATTATGGTAATTGTAGTTTATTCTTATTTAGGTACCTTGTGAACATTTATTAGCAGATAGATTTCCTTTGTCTCCCCTTTTGAAAGTGCTAAATGCTGCTGCATTGTGATTGAATGCTGTTGTCCAGGGACTTCTTTGTTGAGTATTTTTCAATCTTAGTATATCATTTTTTTCCCTGTGTGTCAGTTAGGTGGATTCCTGTTATCTTCTTGGTAGACTGTTCCATTTATTACATAAAATGTTATTTTCTTCTTCTTGGCCTTTTTTTTTTGTTTGTTTAGAATTAATGTGAATCATATTTTCATGTGTTTACTTTTATCTGATTTGTCATTTTACTCGAGTTGGTCTTAACTGATATCCCTAATCTGTTATGGCTGTAATAGTTTCAGTATTTTCTAGTAATTTCTTTTGTTTAATATGGATTTAATTTTTGATACGGTCATGTCGGAAGAAAACCTTATTTTGAAGAATTATTTTCATGTCTTATTTTATTTCAGATGGTCTGGATTTCTATTATTCTTCAAAACAACATGCTCAGAAGATGGTAGAGTTTCTTCAGTGTACAGTTCCCTGTAGGTATGTTGTGAACTTAAATGTGATATGTTCAGGGATCTGGGAATGGATATAAGTCACATCTGTTCTTCAGGCTTAGATAACTTATTTTAGTAAAATATTTGAAATTTTAGTAAATACTTACATAATCATGAAATGTTGAGTTAGCCACTTTTTGTTAGCCACAAAGGACCTAAGACTCTTTTAAAAGCTAAACCTAAATCCCAGTAATAAACACTGTAGTGCTGAATCATAGAAAATTGGTAGAAAATATAGGACTTACACTCCATAAATTGAATTTATATTGAAAATTGAGATTAGTAAGAACAAGGACCTGGGAGGTACATTAGTGTGGCTTTTATTTTATTTTTTGTTTTTTTTTTGAGACAGGATCTTCCTGTAACTCCAACTGACGTGGAACTTGCTATGTAGACCAGGGTGGCCTTGAGCTCACAGAGATCTGCCTGCCTCTGCCTCCCAAGTGTTTGGATTAAAGGCATGGGCCGTCACATCCACCTAGTGTGGCTTTTAATGAATGCTAAATAGTCTGAATGAAGGACATTTTGGTGATTTTTTTTTTTTTTTTTTTGAGTAGATATGGTTCAAATTAGGGTATAATTCTGATGAGGGTTTTGATATACAAGTGGGTGAAATTAGGTTTTACCATAAGTTTTGGTTTCATTTCTGTTAGTATCATAAAATACCCCGACAAAAAGCAACTTAAGGAAGAAAGGGCTTATTTGGCTTATTATTCCAAGTTAGAGTCCACCATTGTGGGGACGTCAAAGCAGGACCTCAAGGCACCGTGCTTGCCTGCTCCCTTCTTAGCTTTTTGCCTGCTCCTTTGCTAGCTTTCTGCCAAGAGAATGGTACTGATCATAGTGGCCTGGGTCTTTTCACATCTGTTAATTAAGATAATGTCACAGGCCAATCCAATGTAGACAGTGCCTCATAGAGACTCTTCCTAGGTGATTCTAGGTGTTTCAAGTTGACAGTTAAAGTTAACCACACCATAGTAGGCATCGTTCTTAGACACGTGGACATTGATAATTTGATTTATTGATATTCCCAAGTTTATATAAGTAAGTACCTGTGCTTTTTTTTAATATTCATATTCTGTCTTAATAGATACAAAACATCACAACGATTGATCTCTCAGGATATCCATAGTAACACATATAATTACAAGAGCACTTTTTCTGTGGAAATTGTTCCAATATGTAAGGTACATTTTTTTCATTTAATTAATCCATATCAGTAGAAGTACAAGTAGTTGGTTTATATATAATTTGTAGCTCCTGGTTTCCTTCTCAATGGCTAGAAATTAAGACTAACTTCCTTAAATGATTTCTGAAATGCTCAGCTTTGTTAAAAAGATACAGAGTGTGTGTTTATCATTATAAACTGGTGTGCCTTTGTCTTTCATTTTGGTGTATTAAAATGAAAAGACTGGGCTAGTGAGATGGCTCGATGACATGCAGTCTCGACAACTTGAGTTCAATTTTGGGAACGCATGTACAGGTAGGAGAAAACCATCTCCACAAAGTTGTCCTCTGATCACCACACACACACACACACACACACACACACACTCACAATATTAATATGAAAATAGAATTAACAGAATAGATGAAAAGACCTGGTTGCAAATTTTAAGGTCCATATTTCTTAAAAATTGACATCCTTGTGGGCATTTGATAGTTCCATGAAACTTTTAATTATAAGAAATGATACAAGAAAAGATCAGTGAGCTGCTTTGGAATCTATGCAAACAAGATTTTTACATATGTATATACATGTCTCTGTGTGTGCAGTTTTATGTGCCCATACATATGTGTATGTGTAGGTCTGAGATTGACATTAGGTATTTGCCTCAATGACTATTTTTCAGCCAGCTGATTGAGCTAGGTTGGCCAGCCAGGGACCCCTGGGATCTGCCTGTCTCACTTTTCCCAGTGCTGGAATCACAGAGAGAAATGGCTGCGAATGGCTTTTTACTTGGTGCTAGGAATCTGTACTCAAGTCCCTCTGCTTGTGCACCAGCACCTTGCCAGTTGATCCATCTCCCTATCCCTGTCAGCAGGGTTTTGACAAGAGTCAACAGTTTTATGGAAATGAGATCATAGAATCATTTTTATTTGAAAACATCTGAATAAGACATTTAAAATACAGATTACAATTTCATTGTGCTAGGATTAAAATCATTTCTTCAAAACACATCAGTGAATTAAAATTCAGCAAGTAGTAATTGAGTACCTGTGTAAACAATGTTGTACTGGGCTGGGTATGTAGCTTAGTTGAGAGAGACTTGCCTCTAACATGCATGAAACCCTGGATTCAATCTCCAACAGCACATAAAGCAAAATGTGTTGCCACACATTAGCATTTGAGGGGTGGAAGCAAGAAGATCAGAAGTTTAAATGTATCCTCAACTACAAAGAAAGTTTGAGGCAAGGTTGGGCTACATGAGACTTTGTCTCAAAAAATAAAATAATGAAAAGGTTACACTAATGATTATGTTATTTAGAATACTCTTATCATATAGAAACTTTTGTGTTGATATTGACCCTACACTTGGGAGGCGGAGGGGGCCAGATAAGGGATTTGTGAGATCGAGGCTACATAGCGAGGTCTACATAGCGAGTTCCAGACCAGCTGGGCTTAAAGGGAGACCCTATCTGAAAAAGACCTCCATACCCAGCTCAGTTTTACATTTCTAAGTATTTATCAGACACTGTTACTTATTTGCTATGTTTTTAATGTGACTTTTTCTGCCTAGGATAATGTTGTCTGTCTGTCCCCAAAACTGGCCCAAAGCCTTGGAAATATGAGCCAGATATGTATTTGTATTCGAGTAACTAGTGCCATCCATCTCATAGACCCAAACACCCTGCAAGGTAAGCTTTGGAACTAAATTTACCTTAACAGTTTAGACCTGCAAGGTAATTTATGGTGTTTAAATTCTCTTTCTCCTTTTTTTTTTCTTTGAAAAGAGGGTCTTATGCAGACTAGACTAGCCTTGAACTCTATATAGCTCAAGGATGACCTTCAACTCCTGATTCTCTTCCCTTCATCTCCCCAGTTCAGGGATTACAGGGGTGTGCCATCAGGCCCAGGGTATGTAGTGCTGGAGATGGAACCCTCAAGGACTGGTGGGTTGTAAGCCAGGCATTCTATGAAATGAGCTACACCCCCGGTCCCAAATGTCATTTGGAAGACTAGTTAGAATATAGTGTTTACAGTTACTGGAATTATAAAGCTCTCTTTATTACTCCGTTTTTTTTTTTAAAGGAACAGTTCTATGAACAATTCAATTTTGTGACTAAGTCTTTTGGTCTTTTGTCCCCTGCTATTGTTGTTTTTGTTTTTTTTTTTTATTAAAAATTTTTTTTTTTGTGCTATGGATTGAACGTTGGTATTCTTCTTTTAAATAAGCATTTTAAATTTGGGACCTTTGACCTGTTATCCAGTGGAACATTTAGTTTAAATAAGAATTTTAACTAATTTCATCATTATCACAGATTATTTTTAACATTCTCTATGCAGATAATTATTTTTGAGGAAGACCACATAATGATAGAAATCTTAGTATCTGACCGTATCTCACTTGATCTTTTTCTTAATTTTTTTCTTTTTTCAAGTTTTCCATTACTAAAAGTTGAGATTAGTGTGATATTTACCAGAAACTCATTGATTGTATCCTTGGATCAGTTACACTTCACCAACTAAGGTCTTTTTGCAGTAATAGGATAGGCTTGCTTTATCTGCCAGCTAAAACTAGGCTTTCCAGCTCACCATAAGCAGCTAAGATGACAATAGGCATAAAATGCAATACCAGCCTGTGAAACTACTATAGAACTGCTTGAGTCCGATCTGAATGAAAAGGCAGGTAGCTCTGTGGTATTCTGTATATAGTGACTACGATGGAAACATGTTGGACAGCTGATAATTGCCGTGTGCTCTGAGAGGTTTGGTGTATGGAAATAAGTGATAACCTTTGAGTCACTGACACTCTAGTCCTGTTGACATCATGTATCCCAGTTGTACATATGTCTGCGCTCTAGTTAACACATTTGATAGCTCTTTAAACACTTCAGTTAGCTTGCTTTTCATGTTCTGCTTATTCTTAGTTGCAGATATTGATGGGAGCACTTTCTGGAGTCATCCTTTCAATAGTTTATGCCATCCCAAACAGCTCGAAGAGTTTATTGTGATGGAATGCAGCATAGTCCGAGACCTAAAACGTAGTGCAGGGGCTGGAGTAATATCAAAAAAGGTAAGCCACAGCTATCTACCCACCTTTATTTTATTGAGTCCTTTTTATTAGATTTGGGTTTTTGGTTTATTTTTTTGGTCTTTTTGAGACAGGGTCTCCCTGTAGCCCCAGGTGTCCTGGAACTCACTTTGTAGACCAGGCTGGTCTTGAACTCAGAGATCCGCCTGCCTCTGCCTCCTAGGTGCTGGGATTAAAGGCGTAAACACCACATGAGTTTAAGCAGTGAGGATCCAGTGAAATGGTTCAGTGGGTAAAAGTGAATCCTGATGACCTGAATCTGCTCTCTGGTACCCACTTAAAGGTGGAAGGAGAGAACTGATTGACTCTAAAATAAAGTTGTCCTCTGACCTCCAAATGTGTACCAGGGCATCTCTCTCTCTCTCTCTCTCTCTCTCTCTCTCTCTCTCTCTCACACACACACACTCCTTATAAACATGTTTTAGAGTTGAGTCAATTGTGATTGAAAGTTAATAGGTTTAATATAGTCTGATGAGTTAGTTTTCTTTTGTGTTGGGGAAAAAAAGCTATTTTATTTATTCCTTTATTTTTGTAGAGAAGGACCAAGTAGCCAATTTAGCCTTGACTTTACAAATCATTCCTAAATATAAAACACAGGAATGCTTTTTCAGTAAGATCAGTGTACCACAATCAGACTCTGTCGCCTACATTCAGATTCCTTCCTTCATTTCAGAGTGTATTAGGGTTTGTTCAGACTCGTATCTGGTTGGGGAACACAGATATGTGAATATTGTAACTCTCAAATCTTCTTTAATAATAGCCTCTTCCCATCTTTTTGTTGTTGTTTTGACACTGTCGTAAACTGAAAGGGTGTACTAGGTGCTACCTTCTGAATCTGTTTTATTGTTTTTTTTTTATTGTGTTTGTTTATGATGCCATTGAACTTCATTTTACTGCATTTCCTCTAAACTAGAAGTATATTTACAGGTTTGACTAAACTTATATTTTTATGAGAATTTTTAAGAGGTGATGTGTAGTTTTTAATTGCATTTGGGGGTTGTGCATCTGTGCTCTCTCTGCACATGTGAAGATCAGAGACGAATTTATAGAGTTTCTTCTTTCCCCACCTCTGTGTGGGTTCTGGGGGATCTGGGGGTCAAACTCAGGTTGCCAGACTTGTACAGCAAGGCCCTTTACCGGGTCATCCATCTTGCTGACCCAAGCCTGTCTTTTTAGATGCTCATTTTGCTCCAAATTCAACCATTGGAAACCCCTTCTGTATGGTTCTTGTGTCCTGACTTTCTATGTCTTTGAAAGTATGTCTATTCTGTGGTACAGTAACATAGCAACCAGTTATAAAATTATATAGTTTCAGCCCATATCTGAAGTCAAGTACTTCTGTAAGTATAGAGGTCTTGTGTCCTGCTTTAGAGGCTTCCAGTCTGGGTACTTCTTTTCTTTGGAGGTAATACTGCTTCTTGACAAAAACAGTTGAATAATTTGGGATAAGTGAATGAAAATGGATTTGCTTAAAAATATAGTTAAGAGCAACTTTTCATTTATGTGAAGTATAGAAGAACAATCAGATACATATTTTCTTGGTTTTCAAAAATACATTTAGCTAAAACAGACTAATTCTCTTATTGCTGGAGTTAGTAAGGACTGGGGAGCTAGGACCATCAAGTGGAGTAGGCTCCCTGGTACTTACTTCGCTTTGGTTTCAGTTCTTTCTAAACCTAAGACCTTTGACTTTCTTCCTTGTACTTCCGTCTTCTCTTTTCATCTTTTGTCAATTGCATTAATTCTGCCATTAACTCAGTATTTTGCTTTTGATCTTATTTCAGTTGATCTTTGTTAGTAAAAGGGTGGCATGTCTATTTAATTTGTCTTGGAAGTTTAAAATGTCAGTGAAATCTTGCGTTTTCTAGTATGAAATTTCAAACTTGGGATTTTGTTTTTCCAATGAATAGTTTTTGTAAATTACATCTGGGAGCTAGAGAAATGGCTCAGAACATACCACTCTTACAGAGGACCCAAGTCCAATCGTCAGCCCTCCCCCCAGCCCCCCATGCCGGGCAGGTCACATCCACTTGTAGCTACCGCTTCAGGGAGATCTGAGGCTTCTGCCTTCAGGCACCAGCACTCATGCACGTATCCACACATAAGCCCACACGCATACACATAATTAAAAATAATAAAATCTTCTAAAAATGCACCACAAACTACTGTGTTTATAAGATATTAATTTGGTAAAGATCTGAGTTCACAGTGTGCTAGTAGAATGTGTGGCCTTTTCTGAACTACAAGCATTTGCTTCAATATTTTCTTGCTTAAGATTCTTTTGCCTTTTTATTTTTTGCTCAGTCTAAATTAGCCAGTCTATCATTTCCTTTTGAGTCATTTTCTATGCTCCTGATTTAGTAATTTATTAGTTTTGACAGTGTTTTAGAATTCTTAAAAGTAGAAAACAATTCTAAATGAATATTAAAGTAGAAAAGTCATTATTATATTTAGTTTTTCCATGAGATACTTCTTGAATTGTTTATATTCATTTTCTTTTCTGTTAAGCATACCCTTGGGGAAGTCTGGATACAGAAAACATCTGAAATGAATACAGATAAACAGTATTTTTGTCGTACTCACTTGGGACATCTTTTAAATCCTGGAGATCTAGTGCTTGGGTTTGTATTATTTTACCACATTTTTTAACTTGTCAATTGGTATTGCAAGTTTGCTTTAGAAGTCAACAAATACCTAAGTAAGTTGTTAATTCCAAGAAGATTTAAGCATTCTTAAGAGCCGTGTAGCTTATTTTATTATTGATAACTATATTAACCATGGATTAAACAGAAGAGTTGTTCAATTTTGACCATCTTGTTCCAAGATATGAATCACTGAACCCTGAGTTAGGTCAATATTTACAACTTTTTAGGGGAGTAGTGGGTGGTTTTTTATGACTGTGCAAATATTTCACATTTAAAAAATGGCAGCCCTGGGACTAGAGAGATGGCTCAGTGGTTAAGGGCATTGGCTACTCCTGCAGAGGACCCAGGTTTAATTCTCAGTACCCACATGGTAGTTAATAATGGGGATCCAATGCCCTCTTCTAACTGCACTGGGCATTGCACAGTGTGGGTGTACTTATATGCATACAGGCAGTACACTCATACACATCCAAAATTTTAAAGAAAAAAAGGGAGGGAGGGAAGGAACGAAGGAAGGAAAAGAAATGGTAGCCCTGTATGTCTGGGTCTATGGGGGTAAAGAACAGTTGTTTGTGAATTAAAGCTTTTCAGTGTGCTATAGACATTGCTCTTGTTCTTAGCGTTAGATTGCTGTTCTCAGTCCATTTTTCTTTTTTTAAAGAATTTTTTTATTATGTGTATGAGTGTATTGCCTGCATGTGTGCAAGTGCACCCATGTTGTGCAATGCCCCCCAGAGGTCAGAAGAACCATAGGATCCCCTGGAACTGGAGTTATGGACCGTTGTTAGCTACCACGTGGATGCTAGGAATCAAACCCGTGTCCTCCGCAAGAACAGCCAGCACTCTTAACCGCTGAGCCATCCCTTCAGTCCCTCTTTTTCTTCTTTAACAAGAATATGGTAAGGTGGGAAACAGTGGACAACATGAAATTCAGTGTGATACCGTCTTTATTAGCATCTGCAGAAAAGTATGTTTTCCACATAACAAACTTCAGAACATTTGAAATGGGGAACATATTCAATATTTTATTGAGAAGGAAGTTTTAGATGATATCCATAAAATAGAATAATGCACGAAGGACTCTCATTCAATTTTCACTGCTTACATTGCAGGTTTGATCTGGCCAACTGTAATTTAAATGACGAACATGTCAACAAAATGAACTCAGATAGAGTTCCAGATGTGGTATGGCTTTAGTTTTTCTCTCTCCTTTCTCCTCTCTCTCTCTCCCCCATCCCCTATATTAAAGATAATTGATAAAACTTAGGAATAGGATGCATAGGTTTACACATGAAAAGAAATAAATTTAGAAGGGTCTTTAAATTTCATAGATAAGATGTAATTGGGGTAATCCATGATTTGTTCAGGGTTTTTGTATGTATTTGTGTTGAGGGAAGATGTAGTGGTGGTGGTGTTCTTTATAATCAGATTATTTATTTTCTTATCAAACGCTTGGTACTGCTAGACCCGTGGCATAGGCCTGTAATTACAGGTACTCAGGAGGCCGAGGAAGGAGGATCACAAGTTCAAGATTTTCTTGGGCTAGAGTGTGAGTTTAAGGTTGGATTGGGAAACTTAGTGAGACCTTGTCTCAAAAAAAGAGAAAGAGTCCTGGGGCCTAGGTTCTGCTTTTCTCCCCAGCACCACGAAAGTAAAGTAAAACAAAACCTGATGCTATCTACAGAGAAAAATTAGTTTTAACTGGAAAGAGTGACCTTTAAAATTTATTCAGGCTCATTCTTAGTTAGGCTCAGCTTATTTGCAAATATTCTCCACTTCAGATGATACTTCAAGGTAAGACCATTATTCAGTATTAAATAAATATAATTGGACTTGAAAATAACCTTCACAGTATTAACTCTTGGAGAAAGACTTTACTTGTGGAAAGTCTATTGAATTCTGATACTTTGAGTTTAAGAATCATGAACAGGGGCTGGAGAGATGGCTCAGTGGTTAAGAGCGCTGGCTCTTGCAGAGGACCCAAGGTCTCATAACTCCAGTTCCAGGGGATCCAGAGCCCTCTCTGATCTCCGCAGACATTGCACGACGAGTACACTTACATGCAGGAAATAAACTCATACACACAAAATAAAAGTAAAAAAGAATCCTGAACAGTAGTGAATGAAATGAATGTGAACAATTCTATCTCCTACTTAATCTTTTAGAATAAACTTTAGTTTCTTTAGCTGTGAGCAAAAATAAAGTCATGGTAATAGAAGGACTTCTTCCTCATGGAGAATGTTTGGGTGTTAAGTCAAAACAGGTATTTCTTCAAAGCTTGCAAGAGGAGATTCCGGCAGTCTAAGATTTTTCTGTTTTCTCTGGATGTGGTGGCACATGCCTTTTATCCCAGTACCCAGCAGGCAGAGTCAGGCGAATCTCTGTGAGTTTGAGGCCAGCCTGGTCTGTATAGTGAATTCTAGACCAGCTGGGGCTATAAGGAGACCCTGTCTCAAAAAGACCAAAAAAAAATTTTTTTTTTCACTCCACAGTTACTAAATATTATGAAAGTCACATAAACGCTTATTAATGGGAATAAAAGGGTGTTTACCTGTGGTGTGTCTGAGTGAGGTATATGATTGGTAGCTAAACATTGGAAGTTTGAGTAAAAAGAAAAAATTAAGGTTTTTTTTTTTTTTTTGTATTAAAAAAAAAATGTATATTTGGGCTGTGTGTGGTGTCATACACCTTTAACCCCAGCAGGCAGATCTCTGAGATCAAGGCCAGCCTGGTTTACATAGTTCCAGGCCAGCTAGGGCTAGAGGGAGACCCTGTCCGAAAAACCAGGGAAAAAAAATGTAGTCACTGGAAAATTTCAGTTAGTGAGTTTTCACAGTTAGATAAATAATGCCAAAAGCATCCTTGTAAGTAAATGGAGAAAAGTTTTGAAGTCCTCCTGATGCTGCCTCTTGCTTTCCACACCTTTCTCCTGAAGTATACAGCTGTCATCAATTTGCTGTCTTCCTAGCTTGCCTGTAACTTTCAATTTTTTTAGGTTTTGGGTTTGTGGACTTGTATTTTGTAATTTCTGTTAAAGGTATTAATCAAGAAGAGCTATGACCGCACTAAACGCCAACGCCGTAGAAACTGGAAACTGAAAGAACTTGCAAGAGACAGAGAAAACATGGACACCGATGATGAGAGGTCCTGCTTTGCTTTAAGTCTTACACGTTTCAAAGGAATCCTTGTGATTAAATTATTCTTATGCTATAAAGAAATAGGCATCACTGTATCTTTCACACTCAAAATCAATTTTGGATTCTTATAAAGTTATTAATTAATGGAATCCACATAAGAGGATGTAATGACATTTATACAAGCGTAACTATTTCCTGGGTTACTGTCCTTATAATAGTGTTAATGTAAATAACTTACTTGAAAAGTGCAATAGAGATAATTACCTTCTGGATATCACAGATAGATGAATGCTTATGACCTAAACCTAAAAGAAAATAGTGCATTGGTATCAGATGTTACTTGTCAAACAACTTAAACAGAAATGAGGATAATATTTTCTAAAAGTTTGTTGAGGACTGGCGAGATGGCTCAGAGGTTAAGAGCTCATGCTGCTCTTCCAAAGGACCTGAGTTTGGTTCCCAGTACCATGTCAGGCAGCCTACAAATGCTTGTAACTGTGGTTCCAGGGGATCCAATGCCCTCCTCTGACACCTGCATTCACGTGCACATGTCCGCACAGAGACACATGTACCTACACATAATTAAAAATAAATCTAATAAAAGAAAAAAAAAGTTTGTTGAATGAAGTGACTTTAGTTCTTCATGATGGTGAAAACATTGATGTTTGAAAGAACAGAGAATATACAGAAAATTGTTTAATGAATTGGGAAGCAATAGAATGTCTTAAATATCTCATAAATTTATAAGAAACATATAGTATGTTAGCTATAAGTTCATATTTGCCTATTTGAGCTGTAGTTTTGGGCTGGCGAGAAGACTCAACAGCTAAAGGCCTTTGTTGTGCACAGCTGGTGACCTGAGTTTGATCCCCAGAACCCATATAAGGTGGATGGAGAGAACTGTCTCCACAGAGTTACTCTCTGGCTGCCATATGTATGCTGTGGTAGATGTACCCCCCCCATATATCCTAATAATATTAATAAATAAAAGTTAAAAAAAAGATAATGAGGCTGGAGAGGTGGCCCAATGGTTAAGAGTACTTCCCAGTCTTCCAGAAGACTTGAGTTTAGTTCCCAACACCCATGTAAAGTGGCACACAATTACTTGTAACTCCAGCTCCAAGTGCTCTGACTTCCTCTTTGGCCTCCACAGGCACCCACATACATGAGGCTCTCTCTCTCTCTCTCTTTCTCTCTCTCTCAGGCACCCACATACATGAGGCTCTCTCTCTCTCTCTCTCTCTCTCTCTCTCTCTCTCTCTCAGGCACCCACATACATGAGGCTCTCTCTCTCTCTCAGGCACCCACATACATGAGGCGCTCTCTCTCTCTCTCTCTCTCTCTCTCTCTCTCTCTCTCTCTCT